AACACTTTTTCATCAGTCAATTAGAATAACAGATGGGGTTGTTAATCAGTTTCAGCTGCTTTGGTGTTAATGAATAACAACAGGTGCACTAGATGGGCAACAATGAGGCAATCCCCAAAACAGGAATGGTTTTACAGGTGGTCACTGACATTTTCTTCCCTACTCATATTTCTGACTGTTTATCACTAGCTTTGCATTTGGCTAGGGTCAGTGTCACTACTGGTAGCATGAGGCAATACCTGGACCCTACAGAGGTTGCACAGGCAGTCCAACTCCTCCAGGATGGCACATCAATACGTGCCATTGCCAGAAGGCTTGCTGTGTTTCCCAGCACAGTCTCACGAGCATGGAGGAGATTCCAGGAGACAGGCAGTTACTCTAGGATAGCTGGACAGGGCAGTAGAAGGTCCTTAATCCATCAGCAGGGCAGGTCTCTGCACCTTTGTGCAAGGAGGAACAGAATGAGCACTGCCAGAGTCCTACAAAATAACCTCCAGCAGGCCACTGGTGTGAATGTCTCTGACCAAACAATCAGAAACAGACTTCATGATGGTGGCCTGAGGGCCCAACGTCCTCTAGTGGGCCCTGTGCTCACTGCCCGGCACCATAGAGCTTGATCGTCATTTGCCATTGAATGCCAGAATTGGCAGGTCCACTGTTATCGCTCTGTGTTTTTCACAGATAAGTGTAGGTTCACCCTGAGCACTGTGACAGACATGAAAGGATGCAAATAGAGAAACAGAAAAAGGGCGCACCAACCTAGTGCATTATCATTTAAAGATTTGAAGAAACAAAGTAAGTATCATACTCACAATAGACATAAAAACACAGGCATGTCAAACTGAACAAGATATAGGATCCAAACAACATCTGAGTCCATACGATGGAACCCTGGATGACCAACTGGCTAACGCGTTTCGAGGACACAACCTCTTCCTCAGGTTGGCTCTGAGGAAGAGGTTGTGTATTCGCTTTACCGGTCAGTGATCTTAATGTTATGGCGGATTGGTGTACAGTTGTGTTCAAAATAATAGCAGTCAGACATCACTAACCTGATCAATCACTGTTTTTGGTAGAAATGATATTGGCAAATAATTTACTAGCAGGTATAGTAGAGTAATAGAAATCCAACAGACCCAACAGTCATGACATGCATGCTGCTGATTCTGTGTAATTGAATCACTAATTGAAAGGGGCATGTTCAAAATAATAGCAGTGTGGCGTTCTAATAGTGAGGTCATTCATTCTTGGAAGAAAGCGAAAAACCTACCCTTCGAATGAATAGAAGAATAGCCAAAATGGCAAGGACTCAGCCAACAATCAGCTCCAGAAAGATCAAAGAAGGTCTAAAGTTACCTGTGAGTACTGTTACAATTAGAAGACGCCTATGTGAAGCCAAGCTATCTGCAAGAAGCCCCCTGCAAAGTCCCACTGTTGAAAAAAAGACATGTGCTGAAGAGGTTACAATTTGCCAAAGAGCACATTGACTGGCCTAAAGAGAAATGGCGCAACATTTTGTGGACTGATGAAAGTAAGATTGTTCTTTTTGGGTCTAGTGGCCGGAGACAGTTTGTCAGACGACCCCCAAACACTGAATTCAAGCCAAAGTACACTGTGAAGACAGTGAAGCATGGTTGCGCAAGCATCATGATATGGGGATGTTTCTCATACTACGGTGTTGGGCCTATTTATCGCATACCAGGGATCATGGATCAGTTTGAATACATCAGAATACTTGAAGAGGTCATGCTGCCTTATGCTGAAGAGGAAATGCCCTTGAAATGGGTGTTTCAACAAGACAATGACCCCAAACACACCAGTAAACGTGCAACATCTTGGTTCCAGACCAACAAGATTGACGTTATGGAGTGGCTAGCCCAATCTTCGGATCTTAATCCAATAGAAAACTTGTGGGGTGACATCAAAAATGCAGTTTCTGAGGCAAAACCAAGAAATAGAGAAGAACTGTGGAATGTAGTCCAATCATCCTGGGCTGGAATACCTGTTCACAGGTGCCAGAAGTTGGTTGGCTTCATGCAACACAGATGTACAGCAGTTCTCAGAAACAGTGCTTATGCAGCTAAATAATAATTAAGTGATTCAAAGGAAAGTAAAATCTTCAAACATTTTTCAGTTTATATAGTGAATGTTGAGTTTGTAAAGAAGAATACAAACACTGCTATTTTTTTGAACAGTCTAATATTCACTTTTCTTCAATTTGTTAGAGGAACAACACACATTTGATATATTTTTCTTCATGTTTTGATTTGGAATAGAATGTGTAGTGTTCCCAATGCATTTGTGTGTATGGAAATAAAAAAGCTATTAGAAGGATTTTGAGTTTTATTCACTTTTTTTCAACACACTGCTATTATTTTGAACACACCTATATATCAACTATAACCACTTAAAAAAGTGGTGTCTTCTTTTCATATGAATCTACAATACATTTGTTATTTTACAGATACAAGTAAGCTCTTTTGTTTCTTTGGTGTAAAACTCAACAGGCATAACAGCCTTTGGTATGCAGGGGCATTACTATACCCACTAAAGCTGAAAAAGAAGCTATAGAGCCCTGAGGGTGAGTGGGCCATGCAAAGAATCCGTGCATTGATCACACAATGATCAACCCTCCTAAACCAAGCTAGTTCCATCGAACCACAACGGAGGGGAACCTCTGTCTTGGTACACAGCACAGCAGTGACTCCTGACAGGGAAGTTGAGTCTCTGGGCAGCTCTGCCTGCATCTGCAAATGGTGGAGTGACTAATTGTGACAACCTAGTTATAGTCTGCAAGTGTTCAATTACAAAGCCATTGATGGTAAGAGGTATAATTAGGAACCCTTATAGAAATAAATTATAGGGTTGCCTACTAATGAGCACTGTCAAAAGGCACATTATAGGTCACCTGCCAGTGACGGGAGTCACGTCTAAAACGTGCTATGAGACCCTGTAAATTTTTGTTGCATCCTGTCTGTGGTATAAGAGAAGAATAAGCAACATGTATGCTTTTGTCACATTTTTATGTCTTACAAATAGACAATGTAAAAGAGCCAAGCCCAGGTGATATATGGTAACAGGGCAAAATACGACAATTCCTGCAATATAGTTGGTTGATCAGACCTTCAAAAGCTAGCAGCTCACTAGGATGCAAATGACAAAATCTAAAATTCATTTCAGAAAAATATTTTTTCCAAGTAACAACTTGTTTCGTCAAACTTGGATTTATTGATACTTTGGCTTTTGTACTCATATTCATACACATAAAACCACACACCTGAAGACACTTTTTATACTGCATACTTGATCTATATATGAGGTATATATTTATATATTCCTTAGCTACTTTTATTTTCAATCTCTGTACACCCTTGGAAATGTCAAATGACTGTCTGGTATTGTGCCTTCCTAATATGTGAATGGATTATTCAACAATTGCTTTTAAAAATGAGTAACCTAAGAGCTATGGGTTTCCTTTGTAGTGTGAGACAATACATGCAAAATTACACTCAATTTCAGGCCTAGATTTGATGCTTTTTTCATCTTTTTCACAGATTATAGTCATGAATTCTTTGCGTCATACTAGTTCTAGTTTTACTTTCTTTAGTACCAAGGAAATGTAGAAGTCATATAAAAATTATGTGTGTCAGTACATGCAGTCAATATACAACTGCTTTTTTTGACTGAAACCTGATGCAGAAGTTCAGCTTGAGTACTTAAAGTGTTCCTAAACCCAGGACCCTGAATTCACACTATCTGGTTTCTAACAGTACACAGAACATGGAAATACAATTATTTTAGTAAATATAAATGGCTAAATATCTTTTCTCATAAGCAGTTAGAGCAGTCTTGTGACTTCTGTGACTTCTATCAGTGTCCAGCTGAGCACTAGTTAAAGCTTGTAGGAGGATGCAGAACCCCTGACCTCTGTCTAGACAGTGCTGAATGGCCCTGTGATGACCACATGCACTCTCTCAAGAAAAAAAAAAACAAAACTATAGCAATACACACTAAAATGAGCATGTACAGAGTGACTCCACACGATATGTCTTATCAGGAGATAAGAGGAGGACAATGGAAGAAGGGGAGTTTCAGAGAAGTCAAGAACAAACAACATTTTTACACAATGCAGAGGATTAACCCCTTAGGTTCCACAGTGAGTATAACAAGTATGCTTTACTGCATGTAGAGACTAATTTTTCTGTTGTGGGTTTAATAACACTTTAATGTACAGATCGCCCCAATCAGATCATAAATTAAATAAATCCAAATATAAATTAAATAAATTAAATTCATCTACACCACAGTCATATTCTAAATCTATTTAAACAGGACTTCAAGCAGATATGAAAGATCATTTTTTTTCCTGTTAAATGCACAAATGGGCATTACCATGACACACAGTAATGCAGGGCACTATATGTAATGTGTTGTGGTGCCTTTCATTTAGAATAGTACCCCAATGCAAAGGTATAGCATTCTGCAGGGCACCACAGAATACATGCCACGTGCTGTGGTCCACTGCATTATAGAAAAAAAAAGGTGTAGTCTGGTTTTCCTTCATTGCCATGTGTCGCCAGCACATTCCAAATGAATTGGCTGCCTTAATGTGCAAATTACTGCATATTAATAGAGAAAAATTTCAATCTCATCAATGCATGATGCTAACTGTTCAGTTTAGCTATAAAATGGTCTACATAAACTTGTCTGAGCTCCTTGTTTATCTGATTCTGCAGTAAGGAAAAGTCAGGTCACTGGCCTAGCTACACTGTCAAGCAGGGGTACCCAGGCTCAGGCTGATTTACAAACATTTGGTCATATAGCAGTCTTCACATATGTACACATCTGAACTGTGTATTTTACTGTCTATCTAAAGTGCAGCTGTACAGCACAATTGAATGTGCAGCTTAATTACGTTAAATACATTCTAGGAACATTAATGCAAAAGGGGTTCCAAGTCTTAGACCTTGTTCATATAACCCCTTCCCACTGCCACCTCCTGGACCTTTAACTGGATCAAAATGCTGGCAGGCAGTCTTTTTAATCATGTGACCACTGTGATTGGCTGTCACATGATCATAAAGCTTCTGATTGCAAGTATGCATTGGGAGCAGGGGCGGACTGAAAACTCATGGGGCCCCTGGGCAATAAGGGATCATGGGGCCCCTGTGTCCTTGCCCAAACTCAAAAAAGCCTATGAAAAAGGTACCAGGGGCATCTCATGGGGCCCCCTACTGACCCCGGGCCCTCGGGCAGTGCCCGAGTTTCCAAATGGTCAGTCTGCCCCTGCTTGGGAGCTTTCCATTACATGTTAGCTGCAGTGCTGGGAGCATGGCCGCTCAACAAAAAAGCCCACCCGCCAAGAGGCTGCATATATGCGCCACATTGGCAGGAACAGGTTACAATGATCAGTAGGGACTGCCACACACTGATCGAAATTGGGCTGGTTCAACAGGGAAATTGTGATCCATCTATGACCTGCTTAATATTCATTGCTCATTTCAAACAAATTGAAGTGAGCAGGAAAGGGAGAGGTTAGAGAATTTAAGGAGGATGTTACATGGGGACACAAAACACAATTTAATGAAACATTAATTACATGGCCATAATTGAGGTTTATGGATTAATTTGAGAGAATAAGGATATTATTTAGTGTCACTTTAAATACAGTGCTCAATGGATATTGCGCTTGTCCAGTACTTTTGATTATTATGAATGATCCTTAGAGAGAAAGAAGCCAAAGTGGAGGGGAATGTATGCACATTAAACTATGCATTTTAGACTATCAGCTTTAAATGTGATCATGATGATCCACAGACTGCAATGCCTTCTCTGTCACAGATATGGAACAAGTGTGTGTTGTTGGAATACAGCAGGGGCTTCCAAAATGCGGCCCACGGGCTGGATGTGGCCCTTTGCTTGCTTTTATCCAACCCTTGGGGCACTTTTGCTTCCACTGATATGAAGCACTATTCCTCCCACTGACACCAATGATGGGGCAATATTCCTCCCACTGACACCAATGATGGGGCACTATTCCTCCCACAGACACCAATGATGGGGGCACTATACCTCCCACTGACACCAACAATTGGGCGCTATTCCTCCCACTGACCCCAACGATGTGGCACTGTTCCTCCCACTAACCCCAACGACGGGGCACTGTTCCTCCCACTAACCCCAAACAACGGGGCACTGTTCCTCCCACTGACCCCAACGATGGGGCACTGTTCCTCCCTCTGGTCCCAACGATGGGATTTTGTTCCTCCCACTGACACCAGCGACAGGGCATTGTTCCTCCCACTGACACCAGTAATGGGGCATTGTTCCACTGACATTAGTGACAGGGCATTGCTCCTCCCACTGACACCAGCAATGGGACATTGTTCCCACTGACCACCAAGCCTAGGGTATTGCTTACTCCCACTGATGCCAGGGCATTTTCTACTCCCACTGGCCGCAATCCGGCCCCCCTAAATTTTGAAGGGCAGTAAACTGTCCCTTTGTTTCAAAAGTTTGCAGACCCCTAGAATACAGTGTTCATTTATTCTGTGTGCCAACTACATCAGTATTCAGTATAGATATATTCTTCAACCAGTTGATGGCATTGTTTATAAGTTTATAGCTGCATCAAGGACTTTTTTTTCTCAGATAATAGGTGCAGGAACTCCCCCCTTCTGAGTCACATCTGTCTCCACCCCCTACCTGAGCATCGTCCCTTGGTTCCACCTCCCAGTACCACCCCTTTTAGATAATACAGAACCAAGTATCATATTGTTGTGCAAAGTAATTTGGAAAGATAAAGCAGTAAAATAGATCCCCTGCAGCCAGCACCAATAGATCACCCAGGAACAATAGACCCCCAGCAGCAACATCAAATCTCTAAACCCTCCAGCAGCCAGCAATAATAGCCCCCTTCCCTCAACAGTAGATCCCTCCCAGCAACAAATGCCCCCCCCCCCCAGAAAGATAAGACCCCCTAGAAACCACAGATCCCCCACCAGCAACAATAAATCCCCCACTCAAAAATAGATCCCCTCCAGAAACAATAGATCACCTACCAGCAAGTATAAATAGACCCTCCAGAACACCCCAGCACCAGTGCTGGAGGTGCCGGAACTATGTTCCCCCATGCTCCCGCTGAAAAAAGCACTGGCTGCATTATGTCTTTTCTCTGAATAAAAAAAAGTTTCCTGGTTGCAGTGAAGCAGAAAAACACACATGGACTGTGTACGGTCTGTTCTGTGGGGCTATATATACAGAATCTCTAACATGTGTAGATCAGGAGTAGGAACTATTGTTCCTAACAGCCGTTAGTGTTGAAGTCAGACGTGCAGAAAAAAAGGAAGCATTTTCTGGTGGAAAGGTCAGCAATGGCAGCTTTGACTTTTCTCCTAAGACATGTTTTCTTTTACATAACTCCACAAGCACTGGTATTCTTTTTAGACATCTACGATTCAACTGTATTACTTGTGTGACATTCAGATTTATAGGCAATTGATGAGGAGAATTTCTACAAAACTGAATTTTGAGGTCTATAAAGTCCTTCTGCATTTGTGATCTGTAATAGTACTGCTTGGAATTTGAAGAAGGGGACATACCCCGAAAGCCTGTCCTCAAAATTGTATGTTAGTGCTAATAAAAAAGTATCACGGACAGTACTCAATTGTTGAGGTCTATAAAGAAAATCATCTTGTGCAATACATTAGGGAAAGCATTGTTTATATGAAGCAAAATGTATCTGTATAGAAGAATAATATTACTATGGTCATTATTATACTCTTTTCATAATTTATAATTCCACACCTAGATCTCAGTGTTAAAATCTATCTGCAGTGTTTTTGAAGACACAAACTGAGCAAAGATCATCAGTGTGTACTTTACTAGACTGGAATCATGAATTTACAGATGTAACGCATATTGTCGTGTCTTTTGCTGCATGATCTGCTCAAACTTGACAGCTTGCAGGGTTGTTGTAACATTATATGAATAGTTTTTTGTGAATAGGTTTGTTTGCTCAGTCAGGTTAGGAAAGCAGCAGAAGTGTTTCTAGGGACCTCGATGGCCCATGGCACCCCTAGGGACCTTGATAGCCCATGGCACCCCTGGGCACCTGCATACACATGTTATGGGGCTTGTAGGTATCATGATGGAAAGTGTAGGAGGCTGTTTATTTTTTCCAATGTTCCATTTCCTCTATCTTCTATTTTCTCTTTTGCTGTCTTCTCTCATGCCTCCCTCCCCTTGCCAGCTACTTTACTTAGAATTGAGCCATACACTGATCAGAAAAAACATTATGACCACCCTTGTAATATTGAGTAGGATCCCGTTTGGCAAACAAAGCAGGCTTAATCCATCAAGGTGTGAAAGCCATTAGACCTCCAAAAGGTATGCTGTGGTACCTGGCACCAAGCTGTTAGCAGCAGATCTCTTGAAGCTGAACTCTGAGCAGAGAGCGGTGACAGTCAGTCACTGCTGTCTCTCTGCCCTGCCCCCGGTGCTCGCTGGAGAGGCTGAGAGACTGAGCCAGGTGCCACTCCAGTCTCTGGGGTGGATCCCGACATTGAAGATGGAATCTATCCCCAGCCTGGACCCATGTCAGCCAACAGTGGGCTTAAGCCCGCTGTCAGTTGAAAACGGGTCACAGGAGTTCAGAATGAACTGCATTCCTGTGATCCACAGGAGTAGTACAGTCCAGGGGCAGACTGACCATTTGGAAACTCGGGCAAGGACACAGGGGCCCCATGATCCTCTATTGCCCGGGGGCCCCATGAGTTGTCAGTCCGCCCCTGGTAAGTCAAAACAGCGTTGGTTATACTTCTCCTTTAAAAGACAAAACCTTGTAGCACTCGTTGCTTATTCATCAAATTTGTTCTGTCTGACATGCACCACAGGTGTTTTTTCGCTAGGGACAACTAGACAAAATTCCTCTCGTTCAGGTTATATTGCACGTTGCACATATTCAGACTTGTTTTATAAATTAGCGAACTTGAAAAATGAATCCCTTCAATGTAAAATATATAAAGTGGTTACAAGACCAGTTTATGATTAGGCTAAAGTTTCACTTTGCTTTTTATAAATTAGCTCAGGAGTAGGTTTGGGATTTTCAGCTTGCTATTATTTTGCTTTCATGGCTCAAACAATATTTGTCATCTGATTGTTGATTACGGACCTTTATAAATCATCTCTGTACATTTTAATAATACAGATTTAATCCACTTAATCTTGAAATATTTGCAGTTGTGTGTAACTGTGAATAAGTAAGATAATTAATCAATGTTACACCGCACAGCATTCAAAAGAAATAAAAACAGAACCAAACTAATATATTATTTATAAGTAAATTATATCCAATGAAAACTAATAAAAGATTATAGATTACACAACACTTTGGTGGAAACAATCTAGCAGACTAACAAATAATATTATACAGTACAGTTCAAACCCAAAATCATTTCTGGTATAAGATTCTTGACAAAGTGAACCTGCATTGTTTTTGAAAGCAGACAACTGTGAATGGAGGAAGTGTGCAGCAGTGGCAAAGGGAACATCAAAGGGTATTTGTATTTCCTCATATACTGTACTTTATAGCAAATGTGATTCAAGAAGGAGGTGATACATAGGCGATTAAGAGCTGTTCACACCAGCATATGGTGCAAGAAACGTACATTCCGTGCATGTTTCCTGTACCACAGGTAAAAACGCTGCCCTTACGAGACGTGCTAAATAATTGTTAATGGCACCCAAACATATCTTGCAAATGCAGTGTGTTTGCGGCCATCATACCGCTGTGCGATCTGAAATAGTAGTGCTTGCACTACTTTTTCGTCGTTCCAGTGTGCTTGGCAGCCCACTCAAGCTTGGGGTGCTAAAACTGGAACATGCAGGAATGTGCATGATCCAGTGTGAATGGGCCCTAAAGATGCACAGGATTACACAGGGTTACAGTGTGGTTGTGGCACAGGCCCTATTCGTTTCATGGTGCGATATTGCTTGCTGAAAGGGACAAGTGGTTTAAGGTTTGCTGCGGAAGTGAAGCAAATAATGGGGGTCACAGCATGTGTATAGCCCTGAGCAACTGCATGCCCTGGTTTATGTGAATGGTCAGGGGTGATAAAACTGCAGCTCAACCACTCTCTCTTACCATATCGAGGCCACCTGTGTGAACGATTCCTAAGAGGGATGCATATTGTATGTACACTGTGGAGAGATGATGAGAAAGTATCAAAAGAAAATACATCAGCTTATTCTCTACAGCAGCCTTTTTCAACCTTTTTATCGAAGGGGGAAACCTTGAACTATTTTTCAGGTCTCAGGGAACTCCTGTTGATATTAGTCCATCAGGAGGGTATTGGGAAAATGTTCATTACAGTGATTGTAAGAACGTCACTTTTGCAGTCATGCCACTGACTCTGCCTAGTTGTATTGTACCTGGAACTATGCAGGCACCATCAGATTGGAGGTTAGTTAGCCCTAGCTTATGGAACCCCTAGCCACCTGTGGAAGAATTCTACGGTTCCACGAAGTCTGGATGAGAATGGCTGCTCTAGCGTGGTAAGAAAATGGCAGCAATAAGTAGATGTGGCTATATGGGTTGTGACACATGACAAAGGTAGATAAACTATCCAGATTAAACTATTAGGCCTGCATTTGGCCTAGAACGTATAGCCAAATTTGCTACCAAAGAGATCTTGTTTGAAGATATGAACATGAGATCAGACAAAAAGATCCCAAACTTCCAACATTGGTCTTCCATTGTATCTGCAGACAGGGCTGCTGTTAAAAACCACGGGGCCCATACAGCCAACCTGAAAGGCCTCCCTTCAAAAAAACAAAACAGTTTACTACACTCCAGTTATTAATGAACACAGAGAGTGATCAGCACCAATCACTCATTGTGTTCATTCGGGAAAGGAAGGGGATGGTAAATGTGACATTTACTGGAACCTTCACTCACTATACATCCCGAAGGATCCTATTGTCCTAGTGCCTTCAGCTGCTGGTGGGAAGGAAAGGAGAGTAGCTGACAGCACTGTGAGGATGGGGGGGCCTGGGCAGCAGGGGGAGACATATGGTGCACAAGCAAGGTGATGAGGGGCAATTACTGGAACTAATCCCCCGTATGGCTCTCTCTGCAGCAGCTGAAAGCCAACGGGAGAGAGAGAAGTCAGCTTACAGCTGCTGCAGAAGGAGCCATACAGGGGATCAGTTCCAGTAATCACCCCTCCACTGTTCTGATCACCCTCCCTGCCCACATCCTATTCACCCAGCTCCCTGGGACCCCCTGTTGGCCTGGGACCCCTACAGGAGGACTGGTGTTACCCTCTTATCCACGGCCCTGTCTGCTGGTACTGTATCTCTCTGTATATGACACAAGCACAATTATGAGTCATATTGGGTTGACTTACAAAAAGTCTATTTTTCTCGCATATAACTAGCCTATTATAGTGAATATCGCTTCACAGGGATATTTGAACATTCTACTCCTTTAATAAATCCACCTCAATGACTACCTAATGATTGTTCAATTAAATTTTTAGTTCTGATTGGTTATTCTTTCCATGCAATACTGTCAAACAAGTGTGTTTTCTATAGTAGGTGTAATTGCTGAATTTTGAGAACTAAAAAAAAAGAATCTGGAATTCCAAAAAATTATTTGACATGTCTGTTAGTTCCCGCTTGAGTGTTTTTGCAGCTTCTTTACCGTAGTCACTTGCCTACCGGGCACTTTTACCCCCTTCCTGCCCAGGCCAATTTTCAGCTTTCAGCGCTGTCGCACTTTGAATGGCAATTGCGCGGTCATGGAACACTGTACCCATATGAAATTGTTATCATTTTTTCACACAAATAGAGATTTATATTGGTGGTATTTAATCACCACTGACTTTTATTTTTTGCACTATAAATGAAAAAAGAATGAAAATTTTGTAAATAATCACCACTGACTTTTATTTTTTTTGCACAATAAAAGAAAAAGAATGAAAAAAAAAAAAAAACGCGTTTTTATTCGTTTCTGTTTAAATTTAAAAAAAGAATCTTTCTACAAACATTTAGGCCAAAATGTATTCTGCTATGTTTCTTTGGTGAAAATAACTAAATTCAGTATTTATTACCGTATTTTTCGCTCCATAAGACGCAGTTTTTCCCCCCAAAAGAATGGGGGGGAATGTCTGTGCGACTTATGGAGCGAATATTGACCAGGTCTCCCCCCCTTGCCGTGTTAGAATAACGGGCCGCTCGGCTCTTCTGTGGCAGAAGAGAGGCGGAATCCGAGTCAGCAGTGCAGCAGCGCCAGGCAGGTCCCAAAGTCGCTGCCCCTTAAGCCTGCACCGCCCTTAGATTGGGACTTTGATCACTGTGCTGCAGAGCTGACAGTGTACGATGAAGACATCATTGCATTCCCAGCGAGCAGGGAGGGGACGGGGCCAGGTCCAGGAGCTCCAATGACCCCAATCCATGCAGCCTGTATGCTCGGGAGGGAACTGCTAGAAGCTGAGATGTGAGTGGGAGCCCCGCCCTCAGAGAGGATGCTGAGCCTGGCTGGCCAGGTATGTCCCCCCCATAGACTGCCTGTGGACTACTATACCAAACTGTATATATGTGCATTGCTGAAAGGTCCCTGTTCATCCCCTGTACTATGTCCGCAGTCTCTGGTCATCTCCTGTACTATGTCCGCACTCTCTGATCTTCCCCTGTACTATGTCCGCAGTCTCTGGTCATCTCCTGTACTATGTCCGCAGTCTCTGGTCATCTCCTGTACTATGTCCGCAGTCTCTGGTCATCTCCTGTACTATGTCCGCAGTCTCTGGTCATCTCCTGTACTATGTCCGCAGTCTCTGGTCATCTCCTGTACTATGTCCGCAGTCTCTGGTCATCTCCTGTACTATGTCCGCAGTCTCTGGTCATCTCCTGTACTATGTCCGCAGTCACTGGTCATCTCCTGTACTATGTCCGCAGTCTCTGGTCATCTCCTGTACTATGTCCGCAGTCTCTGGTCATCTCCTGTACTATGTCCGCAGTCTCTGATCTTCCCCTGTACTATGTCCGCAGTCTCTGGTCATCTCCTGTACTGTCCGCAGTCTCTGGCCATCTCCTGTACTATGTCTGCAGTGTCTGGTCATCTCCTGTATTATGTCCGCAGTCTCTGGTCATCTCCTGTTCTATGTCCGCAGTCTCTGGTCATCTCCTGTACTATGTCCGCAGTCTCTGGTCATCTCCTGTACTATGTCCGCAGTCTCTGGTCATCTCCTGTACTATGTCCGCAGTCTCTGGTCATCTCCTGTACTATGTCCGCAGTCTCTGGTCATCTCCTGTACTATGTCCGCAGTCTCTGGTCATCTCCTGTACTATGTCCGCAGTCTCTGGTCATCTCCTGTACTATGTCCGCAGTCTCTGGTCATCTCCTGTACTATGACCGCAGTCTCTGGTCATCTCCTGTACTATGTCCGCAGTCTCTGGTCATCTCCTGTAGTACATCTGCAGTCTCCTGTCATTTCCTGTACTATGTCTGCAGTCCATCGGTTCAGAATATTTTTTTTCTTGTTTTCCTCCTCTAAAACCTAGGTACATCTTATGGTCAGGTGCGTCTTATGGAGCTAAAAATACAGCATTTAGTTGGAAGGAAAGTTAAAGTCCACAAACTATGGTACATATCTGAAAATCGATCCTGATGAACCCACGACTAATCTAATTTCTTGAAGCCCAAAAACACCAGGACAGTACAAATACCCCCCAAATGACTGCTTTTTGGAGAATGTAGGCAGTCTGAGGTATTTAGTAAGAGATATGAAGT